CAATGTCATGTATTCTCGTCTATCAACAAGGCTAATGAAGAGAGTGAAAGAGCCAAATCATCAGCTGATGTTAGTCAGTCACGGGCCCCTTCAGTTTTCTGGTCCGATGCTATCATACCTGTATGGCAAAATTACACGAATGATGTCAAATATGTCAAGTCGATACCAGAAGGTTATACCATAGTGGAGATGTATAAAACCTCCCGCAATCCACATCACCCAAATCAGCCGGGCGTTAGCTTAGGAGGTGAACTTTACTGGCCCGTTAAAATAAGAAACCTGTGCAATGGGAGTTTTAAATGGGTAAACCTCCATGAAGATGATCCAATTGTTAAAATAATCGTCCAAGAGGCTCTTGCGGGCGAGATGATCTCTTAACTATATCATTTATCAAATGAAATAAGTTTAGATAATGATATTGATAACAATAAAACATTCAATTAAAAATGATGCATCACAAATGTCTTTTTTAATTCAACATCTCTTTTCCGGGATCATTCCGAAAGATTTCCGGAGTCTTTCCGGGGCGCTTCGGACCCTTTCCGGGCCATCCGGAGAGCCTCGGTCCTTTCCGGACATCTTCGGGCCTTTCCGGTCCTTTCCGGGCCTCTCGGAAGTTTTCCAAGTAATGAATGCCTTCACAATAAAGTGAGGTATAGTAATCAATAGTTAGAAATATAAAAAGCCTGAAAATCATAATTTTTGGTTATTTAAACTCCTGTAGCAGGTGACCTATTGTCTCAGAACAAAAGTGATCATTAACCTTTTCTTTAGATAGTAATTTATGCGATCGTTGAACCTTGACATAAAATATTATCAACATTGCATAATTAGATTACCAACACATAAGTTGTATGACAGGGTTGCCCTCGATTTATCAACACTAACGTTGCATAATTAGATTGCCCACAATTTTATGATAATGAATTACCTCCTACCCGTTTTGACAACCCCTCTCCTATCACTTTTGACTTTATTAGCATACCCACCTACTAAAATAATTTATACCACCTACTCGTTTTGACCACCCCTCCCCTATCACTTTTGACTTCATTAGCATACCCACCTACCTATCACTTTTGACTTCATTAGCATACCCACCTACCACCTACCACCTATTTTCGGGGCTCGAGAAGCTCTGCTCTTACTACTCCTCATAAGCCTGGGAATAACTACAACGTTGTTTACTTCTGATCTACGATTATCATATTAAAATCGATAGCAATCTGTAGTTTCTTTTACAAGGAGCATCAACTGACACAAAAGGTCAGTACTAAAGGTAATACAAATTCTTCAAATAGGCATTCAATTGGAAAACTGTGTTTTCAAAAGCAATATGGAGTCTTTATCTACCGACGAGGTTTTAGACAAAATCGGTAGCTTTGGTCGATACCAAGTATTTCTTCTGTTTCTAATGGGTTTCATGAAGATATTTGGGGATGGATTCCAAGCAATGGTGGCGTCCTTCTTGGCTGCAGAACCTCCATGGCGTTGTGTGAGCAACAGCTCATCTTGTAATATCACTGGTAGTCTTTCACCAGGTCAAGACGGTTATAAACTACGATGTAGCCTTAATCGTGACCAATGGGAGTTTGATACCAGTGAACTTACATCTATTGTATCTGAGGTAAGTATATGCAATGTAGTATAACATTTTTAGCTGTTGTAGATTACGGGTGGCCTCCTATGATACGAGAAAAAGGACAATAAAGTAAGAAAACGATAAAGAAAATAATCTACTTAGAAACAAACTTTTCGACGGCGATAAACTATTAAATGTTAATAAGGGCCAGTTCATACTGAAACATAAGCACAAGCTCCATAAACAAAGGGTTTAAGGATTAAGAAGACAAAAAGGAAGATGTTTTTCTCTGTTTATCCCTTTGTCTTTGACTAGCTTATGCTCTGCCTTATGTTACATGCTATGCTCATATCGTTGCACGATTGACTTCATTCCTTTCTCTTGCCTTGCTTATGTTGTAGTGTGTGAACAGGCCCTAAAGGATGGCAAGGGTAACTAAAAATATTCAAATATTAACGCTAAAACTGAACGAAATTTACATACAGCATTTTGGGAGACAAACTTAATAGGCTTAACGAGACAATGATCAAGACGCAAAGTTAGCTCTGCTTAGCAATACGACCATATGACGAGTAAAATTCTGACTACGCTAGACAATAGCATTCATAAGGTGTTTTCACTGTGCAAAAAGGCGAATTTTCGAATCGAATTCGCTCGAATATGAACCCGAATAMTTCAAGTTTTCGATGATTTYCAAAGGTATTCAAGTCCGACTGACGCGACGTCAGCCGGGGATCACTCGACTCGAATACATACTGTTTTTCCGTTTTCAAGTCGTATATCCCCGAATATTGCCGGGTGATAACAAATATTATTATTGAATACGGTTGAATATTTCTGGAAACGCGAAGTTTGCGATTGTAAAATCTCTAATACGCAACGTTTTCTGGACTAAATTTCAGATTAGTTCGCAAAATGACAACACGAACACGCTTGAATACTCATGAAAATTCGTGCACGTGTGGTATGCGTTACGCATATTATTGATCACGAGACGAATTCTAGAGTGTTCAGTATGAAAACTTTCGAAAATTCCGTATTCAAGTATTTTCGGGACTGGTATACTCTTGAATGAGACATTTTGTCCTTAAATAGAGATATTTGGACTTGGGAATTCATGTAAACATTTATTTAAAATGCAATTACAAATTCAAGGCAAACTATAGATAAATAATCAATATACTATTGTTACATGAAATAGCTTCTATTTGTAAAAATGTATTTTAGTAAAAA